TCAATTTGATAAAGAGGTAATCTGAATCCTTCTGACGACCACACTGAGTATGTGGAATGAATTCCCAAGCACCGGACTGAATCAATGCTCCAATGAGGAAATAAACTTACCGCTGGAAGGAGTTGTAGGAGTTTTCGTAGACCACAGATCCAGAGCCTCCTGCAGACTGAGCAACGTTGTTTTGAGCCTGTGCCTGAGCCGCCGCATGGGCTTGTAGGAGAGCCGCTGATGAGATAAGTTCCAGGTCTTGAAGAGGCTGATGGTGTAGAAGAGTCATTTGGGGTTGATTGGGGGAGGCTGTACGCACCGGGCGACCTACAGTCGCAAAGCCCTGTGAAAAAATCGGAGAAGGTTACTCATTAAACGTGCCTATGTTTAAAATTTCAACGAATTGCTCTTTAATCGAAACAACTGGACACTCACCAACCTACATTTAATCCATCTATTCATTTAACCATCCATGGAGTCAGCTAATAGCCAGGCCGGGCATCATTTCAAGTTAACCAGCGTACAAAGTGAGAGCTCAGCAGAACTCGTGTCAATAAAGCGAAAGCCCTCAAAATGCAAGCCCCCACCTTTCTCCTTCAATTAACCAAATTGACCCAGCGAAATCAGCCCAAATGTCAAACCCTCGTTTATCCTTTACATCACAGCCATTTGATAAGTGAGCACCAGTTTTCTCACTAATTACTGCCCGTATGATATTTAAAAACCAACAACGCTGTATCAATTCATCAAACAAAACGACTGCTCAAATCATGTTCCCATAAGATCCAAACTCCTACTACAGTCACAATTGACAGGGGAGTGCGTCAGTTGGAATTGTGGAAATCCCGTAGTGCGTGAAAGAGGAGAGAGGGTACAGTTGTTGATAAAACAATTCAGGAGGATTCATGATAGCATTTACTACTAATTAGTACTTTTTTTGGGAAAAAGGCCCGAGCAAAGTAATCTTAATCAAGGTACCAACAAATAATAATGCGAAGGAAATCACAGGTTTCCCAGGGAAAACAGAAAGC